CATATGCTACATAAGATTGAGGATAAAATAAAAGTATCGCAACAAATTGGAATAGACACGTTCCGCCACATAACATATTTAATTCCATGGTGAACACACCTGACGAAGTAATGGTCATAAACAGCTTTGTCAGAGAGTCATGAAAATGGATTCGAGGCACCGTGTCCGGCATGAAACGGCATTCGGAAGAAGACGTTCTCTATTCCAGAACGGTTTCAGCTGTTTTGGTATAATTGTATCTTAGAAGTTTATGAATGACTAGTCCATAAGTTCTCTTGACTTTCAGATTTCAATTGAGATTAAAACCATTCGCTTTGAGTTGTATCACTTTGGCAATCTGAAACTTGCATAACTGTGGCCTTTCATCAACAATCACGGTGACACGCCGTGATATAGCTGGTACACCGTTCAGTGTGGCGTTAAACTAAGTAAACTGTCGTATTGACCCCTGATTATATTACTCGCCCGTGGAAGATACTGCAGTGTAATATTTATACGGCGATATTAAACTAGTGTATTACCGCTAGACGTATGACGTCATAATGGTTAACAGTTATGACGTCACATTACTAATACCTCTGTCATAATGATATTAGGCCCTGCTTGACTTGCGGAAAGCTCAGTCATCACACTATGTAGGCAGTTTCTGTCATTTCATGTTGGAGAGTAATAAACAGAATACTAAACTCGCTTCCGTGAAATACCAATTTTATTACGCTCGTGAAAGATTTTATTCAGCATCAAACTCGCTTTCGCTCGTTTGATACCAAATTAATTCGTTTAATAAAAATGGTATTACACGGAAGGTCGTTGAGTATTCTCTATTTACAAATGCATGAACATCAAATGCACTGGATCACCAAGAATACGCAAGTTTTTGCCTACCTGACTGAGAGTCGAGTGGGCTTATGCCTACTCGTAAGTCAGGCTGTCGTCATCGTCATCACAGACAACTGCGTGTATAAACATTTTCTCCTCGGAACCACTGAAGTTTCCAACTTCACAGACATTTTTCAAAAGAGGTTCAAATACCATATAATTGGCAACGCCAAGGCAACCATATTGACAGTTATTTTCAAACAAGGAAGTGCTTATATTAGTGTTTTTCCCATTAATGACAAATGACATTTTATTTAAGCTCTCAAATTCTCTCCAAGTCACCCTTAGCTCTGTAAATGTCACCTCTTCAAAGTTTTCAAAATGAACTTTAACTTTTGTGGGGTTCTTTCTTTTATTAACATCAAGCATTGATTGTAGAATCTCGTGTTAGATTTTAGACTTTAAGTAGAAATGTTTGAATGTCACAAATGACAGTAACATATTCATGTATGTGATTCTCTACTGAGGTAAAATGTTACCATTGCTTTGTCGCGCAGAACCAATCGGCACAATACACAACATCGCAAGATTACCTTTTCCATTCCTAATGTGTAAGATTGGATGAATATCACAATATCAAAGCAAAACAATGGAAGCAATACTATGGTGACAGGTCACTGGAGATGGCTGGCCGTCATCTCTGGAACAATCCCCCATCTCACCTCAGAACACAACCAGATTTAGCTGTTTTTGATTAAATCTAAAGACTTGTCTCTTCACTGAAGCCAAAGCGCCTTTTAGCGGTATGTATGTATGTATGTGAGTGAGTGAGTTAATAGTTAACGCCACATCGGTAATATTTCAGCCATATAGTGACGAGAAATGTTTTATATAAACAATAAATTAAAGTTGCTAAATAATCAGTCATCGAATTCAGCGGTGTGTGTGTGTGTGTGTGTGTGTGTGTGTGTGTGTGTGTGTGTGTGTGTGTGTGTGTGTGTGTGTGTGTGTGTGTGTGTGTGTGTGTGTGTGTGTGTGTGTGTGTGTGTGTGTGTGTGTGTGTGTGTGTGTGCTTCACTCATGTGGGTTTCAAATTGTCTCCTTCCAGAATCGGGTACACCTCTGCCGTGAGTTTGCACCGATCATTTCTAAACCCAGGTTTTGAAGTACACTTTTCAAAACGTCATATCAGGTTAAATTTCGACCATTTCATAACCCTCGGTTTTACAAGCTCCGTCCCTGCTGCTCTCAGGTTTTACAATCCCGACCAAGACCTCGGAGTCGTGTTTTATCTTTTACCAATTTACACGTTGTTTACAACTGTGTATCAGCTGACTTTAAGTTGGCAGTTGTCCATTCCTGAAGTTTTGGTTTTCTAGATAGGTTTTGTCAGTTTTCTGGAGGAGCACAAAGACCCAAGGTCACGTTACTTCCATTTAGTAGACTGCAATCATCGATATAGAAAGGAATCCAAAACGACCCTAAAATACTCATTTGTTTCATATATCATTTCTGACAAATTATTGTCCGGTTAAGGGTAAAATGTGTTTTAAGTATCCCAGGACATGTGTCGAAATACATAGGTCCATGTTGGCAACGCTTTAGTTCCCACAGCCTTTGGTTAAGTTTGTACATAAGATTAAACGCAATGTTAGATATAAACAGACCCCAGGGTGAGTTGTTCAGACAATCCTGATTTTCGTCCTGATGTTCTTTTTTTCTTTCAACCAATCCAGCTTTTACACGGTTGTCAGGATTGTCATACAGGATTTTGTTACCCATATGGGAAAGAGGACACAGGATGAAATTTTCCTGTAAGTCCCTGTGGATGTTTCAGAAAATAAAACATCATATCAACACGTAGGGAAATTGGGATTCCACACAAGGGGTTTCCTTATAGAGAATACTGTGTTCAATTTAGGGTTTTTTAGATCGAAACCTGGTATGAGTCATTTAGACAATAACAAACGAGTGACGGGTCATGACATTATCTTTCCTGAGTTAAATTAATTACGTAATTTTCGAGCCTTGTCCTCTTTCCCATATGGGTAATGAAAACACAATAACCAAGATTATCTTTCCCTCGTTATAATAATTATAATTTCTCTAAGCTTAGAGAAGACCTATTTACGCCCAACACATTGACTTACTGTAAAAAGAATCATAAGGTATTGTGTCATAAAGAGAACAAAATTTTAATGATAATATGAACAAAGAGCATAATCCATATTCGTTTGGACACATGTACATGTATACATGTTTAGAAATATATTCAATTATATTATCTCATATACAGTGTCATGTCTGGATCCATTTCTCTAGATCGACTTCTTGAGCATTACTTTTGATGCCATATAATCAATGAAGATAACTGCTTCGTGGTCATGTTAAGTCTACCCATCTTAGGGCTTGCAAAATGGACAAAAGTGCAGCTCCAGAAACTGAAAGATAATATGGGAATCTAAACACCTTACAGAGTTTCGTGGTGGGCTCCCTTGTTCTACCCCGCAACCCGTTTTCTGGGATATCATGTATGCGGCCGTCCGTCCGTGCAAATTCGTCTTTTCCGGATCAGAACATAAATACCGTTCAATATTTCTTCACCAAATGTTTGCACAAATTAAGATAGGCCTGGTGCCTTTTGGTAGTTTTGGATTTCTCAATAAAGTATTTTGTTGCATTTCCATGGCAACAAGTGTCACTTTGACTGAAATTGGTGGTAGTGCTCCTTTCCAGAGCCGAACTTAAAAACTTTTCAATACTCTCCTTCTACTTTGTGGGTATTCAAGAACCTAATGACATGAATCAACAGTGCCACTGTATTTCCAGTATCAACATTACTGAGGTACATCAAACCGTAGAAGCACTCAGGCAGGTTGTTGTGGATACAAGCCTGCTAGTATATGAATAGTTTACATATATATGTTTTCTTTAGATCAATGGGAAGAACAATGTAACCTTTGAGATAGTCATAACTAGTTGATATGTTCATGAAGAGCATTTTACCATTGCGGGGGATATTGATGACTTTGTCTTCTTGTTCCTGTGGTATTGTCAGGAGACCTCTTTGATGTTAAGCCGTCAGATTTTACTTTTACCTGTGTACTGCCCTTGTATACATGTAAGGCGACTGGCTCCTTTCTCCAAGTTAATGACCATGGCACTTCATTTGGTACGCCTTTACACAGACACAGAATTGGACCCGACAGACCAATCTGTGGAAATAGGAAACTTCATAGATGAAAGGGAAAGAAACAATTTCAGTTGGTACGGTAAATGATTCTACCACACCGACATGATCTTTGTCAAAACGACTCCGCGTGGAATTCTGGACGTTTCAAGGTGGATTTGTGTTAGCAATTTGGTTGATGTTTTCGGAAGGACCATGCTGCTATCCAGTTGTTGGATTACGTTCAATTTGTAAAACAATGTGGAAATTGAATGGGGAGTTTTAAGGGTAAGGTAGGCAATGCACACACAAGGACTTGTATTCAGGCGAGTTCACCTAACGTTTCAGATTTCACTGAGGGCGGTGGGGTAGTCTAGTGGTTAAAGCGTTCGCTCGTCATGCCGAAGATCCGGGTTCGATTCCCCACATGGGTACAATGTGTGAAGCCCATTTCTGTGTCTCCCGTCGTTGTATTGCTGGAATATTGTTAAAAGCGGCGTAAAACTAAACTCACTCACTCAGATCTGTTATCATAGGTAGGTCACGATATCCCAATGGAAAATGGGATGGAACTTTGAGTTGTCAACAAATGGGACATGCTTCTATGTTACCAAGTTAAAAGAAATCACGGTTTTTCTATTTGAATGTTTTAATGCCTTCCCATAGTAAGGCAGTAACCCAAATTTCACCAAGTCAAAGAGCCTGTTATCAACCAGAATGGCATTTAACACAAACATCAACAGGGAAATCAGTTTTTAATACACTCTCGAGCAACATATTTACTTGCTACTTCATATCCGAATATCATTACACGCATTAACTGCTAAAGAAACATTCTTTCAAACCTAAACGAATCAAGAATGGTATCTCTTACATATATTATTGTATTTCAGATAACTTGAAGTTGGCGGTTTCCTCCCAGCAGCGTACTGAACAAGCTTGATTTCGTTCAGTTTCTGCTCTTTCTGAGGAAAGACAACATCTCGAAGACAACTTAGAAATCATAATTTCTTTAAGGCGACCATGCCAAAGGCTTTGGACCGGTGTACTGGTAGTGGTTCCACGCTGCACGCCTTCCACCCACTGGGCGGGTGATGCAGCTCGTCAGGCGTCGGGTGATGTCTTCTACCGTGGTTGTAGTCGCCCTGAAGGCCAACCCCTTTGTGTCTCTTTCCACACACTGTGTGTAGTGGAATAGACACCCCTCCACAGCGTCATCAGGGAAGTTGACGGAGACGGCATTCTTCGCTGCAGATTCGAAGTCCATCTGGAATGATTAAAATGTGGAAATAATGAATACGTTTACCATGTTTTACAAATAATGATAAGTTAATTGAATAAATTATTATATAATTAATAATAATGAATAACTACATGAATACTGACTATCATTTATTAAGAGTTATGTAAATCAATTTACCTGGATGTGTTGAGGTGACATCTGAAGTCCTCTTGCTTCCACTGCTTCCTTCAGGAGACGGAAGGCGCGGTCGTAAGTAACAGTCGCCTTGTCTGGCAGCAAGAAGAAGACCAGCGGAAACATCTGACCACCAACCATAGCATGGAGAGTGTACAGCTGCAGGAAGAGTGATGGTGAGACATAAAGGTTCCGTCACCATACACAACTTCGGCAGCACAAAGATGTTGCATGTTCACCGTTGTCGTCATGCCAAGGATCTTATCGTCGTCGCCATCGTTGATGATGACAAAGGGCTCGCCAGCGTTGGTTGTTTTGAACTCGTCTGGGATCACGATTTCTCGTCGGGAAGATGGGATGGGTGGGAAGGTGGATCTTCGGGCCTGGTACAGTCTGTTCTTGACGGTGTCGTACGTCGGCATTTCTGCGATGAACGACCTGTTCTCTTCCGTCCAAGGACCATCGCTCACTGAGGCCAGAACCTCGTTGTACAGCGTCGGTATCGGACCCAGAGATGACTTGGCCACCATCTTCATCCTGTCCAGTGTCTCTCTGACCTGTAAATAAGATATAACCAAAATTAATGTAATGTTATGGCTGCATAAATCTAATGAAGTGCTTTTCGAGCACATTTGTCTAAAATTGTGCAAATAATGAACAAATGTAGCAGAGCTTTATACCATTTTAATATTATAATTTATAGATACATTTACGCACAACATACCTTTATCTCATTATGGACAGGTCCATGGTTATGTGGGCTGGGATGCTTGGTGATGATGTCGTTCACAGTAGAGACAGTCTCAGCACATGTCTTCTCCTGGCATCTCCAAGATGCCCATGAAGCATCGTTGCGTCTTCGATTCAATCGAAACACAAAGCCTTCAACAACTAGATAACGTCCACCACGTGAAGTCGGGAGAAACTTATAGTCTAACTGCTGGTTTGCCATTTCTTGAAGTTGGCAATACATCTTACATCTAATCATCAAACGGTAGAATAAACGAAAACACAACTGACACCAGTCGCCATGATGGCAATATGATAATCAGTTAATACAATCTAACGCAAATAATTGACATTTCAGTTTTTCACTGTCGGGATACAATGTGACATGTACACGATTTCCTTAAGAGCCGTTTTTCACAGTGATTCCGTCCCTTCTTTTATGTCAACTATAAACTGGTTTTAGTATCTGTATTACAAAGGTGCTTGCATCGTTTGATACGAATGGCATTGTCCATAACGGGGAAGCATCAAATCAGAGGAATAGATCTGCTTAGACAAGGTACTGAGTTCATGTCAGGCGTCAAAATGTGCAGTGAATCTTGACTAACCTATTTATCTTCCAATATGCGCTAGCGATCAGGTATCACAGGAAATAATTGCAGGAGCAACGACCTTGCCAATGAAGCGCAAAAATGGAACATCACCAGTTCTATTCAACTAATTCGATATAAATACAAATCCCATGTTAGAGGGTACATTTTGCTTAAGGCGCCTTGAGGTGTATCAGTTTGTTGTCATGTTCAACATCAAAATCAGTTTTATAAACGCTACAAATATGACCGATGTACATGATGCCAATCACTTGATTATCTTGAGTATCCAGGCTCGGTTACTGATAAGTCATGGTCATATAAATTGAATTTGTCTGAGTGCGGCGTTCAACAAGCAAACAAACTTGCTTCCCCACCGCTTACATGTATTCGAGCATACCAGCGAAAGCAGTGTTTGTGTTTGTGTGAGTAGTTATTTGTCGACTTCCTTGTGAGTGTTTTATGCCTTCGTCAATCAAAATTGTGAACACATGCATCGCGAGGGCGGCCTCAAGGGATACCTTAGTTCGACTGGAAAGGATTACGGACACATTTAGTTTTCGCTGTTAACCATTTCTGTTTGAATCATTATTGCATACATCCAAGAAGTCTCCACTTGTATCCCGTAATTTACATTTTGGTTGAACGCCACTGGGGTCCAATGATCCTTTTCCGACTTGCATGTAATTTCCAAGCCGCTAATTCATTTTACAAGAAATCAGTTTGAAAGTTATGTATGGTTTTAATATTTGTTTTGTTTACGTGACGACAGTCCGTAAGTAATCGAGTCTTGACCAAACAATCCAGTGATCAACAGCATGAGCATCAATCTAGGCAATTGGGATACGATAGCATGCATCAACCAAGTCAGCGAGCGTGGCCATCAGTTCCCTTCAGTCGACAAACATGTGTTGCTGAAGACGAGTTGGTACCAGGATTTGAAAGCCATGATGTTGTTGAACATTGGCCTTAGGCTGAAAACAAAGCACTCATTTGGGAGTCTGTCGCCTGCTTCATAAAAGAGTCTATCAGAATGTCCATGGAATGGTCACTTTAGGTTGGTTTTCTCGTTACCTTCACAGTGTGGACCGTTGCTTCTGCTCCATTCCTCCTGTGAGGGTACGTAAGTCCCAAAACATACTATTATTTGTAACCGCAGTATATATGTTATTTTGATTTATGGCCTGATTGTCAACAATTGGTGTAAATCCAGCTAGGGTCCATGCAGGAAGCAAATCTACTCCAAGTCCCCATGGTCCCAAATACGGTGATCTACCTTCAGCTGTTGGCAATCAATAGCCTGATTTTATATTGTATTGTCTTCTGTGGGTTAAATATTTTATATTAATATACTAGATTTATATTCATACCTGTGACAATCTAGTTGATTTTACTCTCCCTTGTTGACATACTTTTCATAATTTACATGTATTTATGGTGAATTTAAAACTTGTTTTAGTCACGATATGGCTGAACTATTGTCGATGTGACAGTAAACCTTAACTCACTCACTCAATCACTCACTCACTCTCCATTCGCATGTTGCATGACATAGCTTGAATAACGCTAAGTACGACACTTTTCATTTGTACAATCACTTATAACCGAGACTGATATATAGATGTCAAAGCTTGTGGACACTGTGCGAAGGTGAAACGAAGTGTATACCTTTACCAGGGTTGTTTAATTATGTGTTCTCGTATGTCAATAGAACTGCCAATATTGCTTTGGAGATTCCAGTTAAAATAGGTTCACCAACATTATATTGCCTTTGACTTGACGACTAAATTGAAGTGCTAGGCCGACCGGATTGGATTGGAGGGTCAGACTCAATAACGTGGTTAATTGTGTGTCTTCTTATAGTTGCTGAAAACATTACACCATCGCCTTATTTGCGCTTAACTCAATTATGAACTGGCCAACATGATAGAGATTGGCGAAGGAGTAGGTATATACTCTTAATATGTACCGAGAAGTAAAAATATTCTCTCCCTTATATGTCATTTCATAACGCTTGGCTTCATCATATAAGCATATCGATTTCTTCATTTATTTAGTAATTTCCTTTTGGAAAGCGTGCAGCCTCTGAGAGTATGTCTAAGTTGGTTGGTTTGTTGTTTAACGCCGCACTCAGCTATATTCCAGCTGTATAGTGGTGGTGTGTAAATAATCGAGGCTGGACCAGGCAATCAAGTTATCAACATCATAAGCATCATTCAACGCAATTGGGATACGATCACATCTGTCAACCAAGCCAGCGAGCCTGACCACCCGATCCCGTTAGTCGCCCATTACGACAAGCATGGGTTACTGAAGAACAATTCTAACCCGGATCTTCACGGGTTGTATGTCTTGGTAGAACTGTTTAAACATACACAACAACATATATGAACAGTTCAAGTAATTTTCCCATGGGGATTATTTTCTTGAATACAAAATTAGATGAGCGGAATAGGTATTTTAAGTTTGGAGTCAATAAAACTTATAAGATATTAAGGACACCAACTAACAAAGCTAGTCCAGATGTGTTTCATCCTGGTATAAGTGTAATCCTTGAAACGCATTTCACCTTTTGCAAAGCTGTCTAAACAATATGCCAACCGTCATTAGTTGCGTATTATCGACATTACACAACAGTGTTCCTTCGTTACAAGATGTCGATCAGTTGGATCCGTTTTGTACCAAGCCTTTTATTCAAGCTGAGGTTTGACCCAATACCTAGAACTAGTCAAACAAACCGTTGTCTCCCAAATAAAAGTTCTCAGACTCAAAGAGTTCACTTAGATTGCATGCAAGTGGACGTTTTCATTAAAATTAAGTTGAACAGTATGTGACACTTAATTAATAACAAGCACTTGTGAGGCAGGATAAGCTCACCCATTCGCGAACACCTGATATCAATCATCACTATTCGATATCGATTGATAAACATGACAGTCTAATGACATAATAGAAATAATACAATCGACTTTGACAGAGGTTTAATGTGGGTGTGAACGAGTTTGGTCGCTTTTAGACATCCATCTCTGTTAGACATCCATGTTTTTACGACCCCGGACGGAGACATGTCACACTTGTAATGAGGTCAACGAACTGCCATAATTAATCACAATTACAGAAATCAAATTTCCATGTCATCCAGCATCCCATCGTAACATTATTTGCTCACTGGGTCTGATTCAGGGAACTATATTAAACCAAGGTTGTTCGCGAAGATTAACTTCATGTCCGAAACAGAAATGTCTATACCTTCATATCAGGCAAATAATAGTGTGCAAGCAATATACTACACTTTATTAAGTGAGTGAGTGAGTTATTATTTAACGTCACATCTGCAATATTTCAGCCATATCGTGACGAGAACATATGTGACATTGAAATGGAATAGATGTATATTATAAAAACCTGTCGACGAAGGACAGTAAAACAACTAGAATATCACAATTACAACTAAAACTAGTGTGGAAAATTAAAACTCATAGCACTATTTGGACAATACAATATAAAAACTGGCTATAGATCGCCAACAACTGAAGGTAGATCACCAAACTAGGGACACACTTCATTAAGAACGTGCTCTGCAAAAAGCGTCAGATAGGTTCGAGGAAGAGATGAGCATGTCCTATTGGCAGCACTAGATGAGTGCAATTTAATGTTTCCAAACTGGTGTCCAAACAAAACATTCGGAGGATTAGTTAGTTTGCTGCATTATGGCGGTGGTTTGAAAATAATCGAGTCTGGACCATACTTACAATAACGTAAGCTTTACTGAGACCATGGATGCCGTAGTATGAAACTCATTTCTCGCTCTTTTAAAACTGCGTGGAAAGAGCATGCTTGATTGCAGCTCAAACGTAGACACCGAAGACTGAACTGATTAAACACTGCTCAACATGAAAAGGAAAATGTTCCAAAGTTGCAGTCACCAGCTGCTGTGCAGTTCCATGCAACAAAGACATGTTATTTATCAAATCTGGTGCTACCAATGAACCAAGGTATCCTTAACTGGTTCCATCACTTATTTTAATTTTTTGTCCAAATGGAATATATTTCTTTGGAAAATAGACCCTGGATATTCTCTTGTCTTAGAGATGTATTATATTGTTATCCGGCCTCTCTTAACCCGGTCTTAGCTTAGTCCATGCATGAATTAAACAAAGTACTGTTTAAATTTCTCAGGAGTGGTAAACCTGATAAGATCAAAAGAGTGGTTGCTTGTAAGCATGTTAAAGAGGGTGGACTTGGTATGGTTGAAGCTTCTTCTTATGTTAGTTCTTTAAAATTGTCTTGGATGAGAAAGTTGTTGGATATTGGCTATGAATCCAAATGGAAATGTTTGTGCTATGCTTCCTCCCAAAACGGAAAAATTTAGCTGTATTTGGTAATTCTTTTCCAGGTACACTCTCCAAAGATATTAAGAATGCATTTTGGCTTGATTGTATTTCTGCTTTTGACAAGTTTGCACATAAGATTCATCCCTGTTCATTTGAGGAATTCATCACAAAACCAATCTATTATAACAAGCACTTACAAATTGGTAAAGAAGTTATTTTTGGTTCTGCTTGGTTTGAGAGCGGTGTTAGTCAGATTCGTGATTTTATCAATTTAAACGGAACATATCGTACTCTCGAGG